ATATGGTTCATGGGGTCACGAAGAGTCGGACACGACTTAACGACTAAACAACAACAATGAGAATTTCAGCAATATGTCAAGTCGGTATTGTTCGTACTCTGAATAGTATGCCAGGAGCTTCGCTTGAAAAGTGGGATAGAGTCACATAAATTTATTTTAAAAATGAGTGGGGATGAAAATTAAATATCAGTGAATTATTATTTGTTACAATTAATGTAAATATTTAACACACAATATAATCTCATCTCCTTATATCTCAGTTAATTCCCAGATTTAAAACAAATTACATATGAACAGAACAGCTATTTTGTCCTCTCTCTCTCCACTCAGAGAGGGGGGAACTGGCAAGGGAAGGCAGAAAGAAACATGAGGATTTGATGGCATGAGGATTTGATGCTGACGGGAAACAGAATCAGCTGCATGGAGGGGTGTAGAGGGTTGTATCTAACCTGGCAAGCCACACTCAGGTGTGGGAGAGGCAGGGGAAAGCTGGCTTAGTCTTATAATAAGAGATTGATTTTTTTTTAATCACTAAAAGTCATTTGGAAAAAGCTTATCCTGTTTAATTCTTCCTTTTAGCTCACAGAGATTATTCGTTTCTTCACCCTAATTCACAATCAAATTCTTACACTGTGCTTCTTGGATGTTACCAAATCCATCTCCCTGTACTACACAAGAAAGATTTCAATAGTTCCATAGGAAACATCCAAACTACATATATCTATGCACTTTTTACTCCTTTTAACAACTCTGTCCTATGGGACAGCACTGGGAATCAGACTCATTCCTACCTTCTTGAAGAGATATGGAACAGCATCGCAGTAGATCTTCCGGAAGGTAGGATGGTTTGCCATATCACTATTCTTTTCTTCCAGCAGGAAAGACATAAAAGGATAGCAGTGAGAATGGGTGGTGGTGGGGTGGTGGTGTGATGGTGGGGATTTCTAGCTACCGTATTCATCATCTTTAAAAGGGAAAAATAATAGTATGGGATGTTAGCAATCTCAATGTTTTCTAATTGCCAAAAAGATGCAAGAAATGCATACATATCTTAGTTATGCATAGTATAAATTTCATACATTTACAATAAGAAATGCATGTATAAAAAAGAGTTTCAAGGAAAGACACCAAATTAGGCTGAGGACTTAAAATATTCTAGTGCAATTGTTCCCTATTGCTGATCTGTTAGGGTACTTTGGTGGTTCATCTGTCTATCTATCTGAAAAGGTTGGGAACTCTTGTTTTAGGACAATATCCAGTGAGCCAAAGTGGGTAAAAACTGCATGATGTGCTCACAAGTACTAAGAAGGGGCTGCTATTGCTATCTTATTTGTAAATATGAACAGCAGAGTGCTTCTTGTCACCGAACACAATCCCTAAAAATCCTGGATAAGTGATTGTTGCTTGTATCCAATATGAAACCTCACCTGTTTTCTTTATGCTATGGCCAACCCTTCTGGACCAGCCTACAGGATGGATTAGAGGACTCCACATGTGGCACCAGAAGTCATCATCGCTGTCTCCATCCTCATAGAGAAGCCTCAGCCGGCCACCAATTACAGTATCCACAACAGCCATGCGTGTCTGAGATATGCAGGCCTTGTTCACTACTTCTACCCTCATGCCTTGGCGGAAAGGATATTTCATGCCCTCAGTCATCTGAGTAAACCAGAAAGTGGACATGGAGGTGGATGATCAACTTTTTTTTTAGGAAAATAAAACATTCAACCACAACTCCAGAGCCAAAATTGGGGTTTTAAAAATTAATTTTCATTAAAGAAGTTAAAGGCCCACAACTCTGCAAAATGGAAAAGCTGGCACATTACTATATCCCCAAACCAAGATCTAACCTAGACAATACAATATATACATATATACATACTGTATAAAATAATAATAAATAATTCCCCTCTCACCCCTATGGGTGGTACGTGTCTTCCTCAATCTCAGGTCCTCTACCAGAAGCCTGGAAGTTTGAGGGTTCTGCGCAGTATCTTAGCAGTTCCTAGCACTGCACTCCTCTGCACAGAGAGCTCTGATGTTGTTTCCGGGATCTGTTGGAGCCACTCTCCCAGCTTAGGAGTCACAGCCCCAAGTGCTCCTACCACCACTGGGACCACTTTGGCCTCTCTCTCTCTCTCTCTGTATATATATATATAGAGAGAGAGAGAGAGAGAGAGGGTGAGAGAGAGAGAGAGAGAAGCTATCCCTCCATCTTCTATTTCTTCAGAGTAAGCACCCAGGGAAGTGATCTGGAACAGAATCATTGGGTGAGAAAAGTAGGAAACTTAAATCCTTCCCTCAGCCTTATTGATTAGCCATTCTTTTTCAGTTGCAATTATTAAAAAAAAACATAGCAGAAGGAAAGAAAATGTTATTAAATAATGGGAGTGAAAGAGGAATTAAAGTTCTCCCTTCCTGCCTACAACAATCCTAGTCAGGATCAGGCCACAGTGTAGTCTGAAAAAGTAAACACAGATGGATAGCAGTGATATGCATACTTTATGGCTTGTGTTCTTTAGCAATGAACTGCAAATCAGGAAGTACTGGAACAACGATCATGAGCTCCCTAAGTGGTCTAATGCCAGCTATTTTCTCACTCTGCCCTGAATTGAGATGACTTACTCTGCAAGCTTTTTCAAAGCCTCCATGGGCAGAGCCAGGATTTACTCTTTCCCCCCCCAGCTTTAAGATCAATTCTGCCTGATTTTACTCTAGGATTTCTCAACCAGTGATAGAGCTGTGAAAGTATAGCTATCTTAATCCATAAGTGAAATTAAGTTAAATTTTGTTTTCATCCTATCTTTTCATAATTAATAATTCATCCTCATATATCTTCGTTTAGTATCATAAGAGAACACAAACTCATAACTTAATGGCATGGCCATACTATACTGAAATGAAACTTTTTGAGCAGAAAGTCCTTAAAAAGATCAATGTATCTTATTTTCAGTTCAGAAGCTTAAACCTACAAAATCTCTTCCTTAAATTCAGCATTTCATTATTTCATACTGATTACTAAGAAATGCCTTTTTTTGTAAAGGATATTTTCACAAGCATACCAGCAGGGGGAAACTTCCTGTTCCTGTAGCAAATACAGCAGGTTTTCTACCTTTGAATTGAAGAATGGAGTTTATTTGTTTGTTTGTTTGGTTATTTAGTTATACTTACAGTGACCATATGTCCTTTTTATTATAAAGGACAGTCCTTTATTTCAGAAAGCTGGACTTAGATTTATTTTTCAGAAACTCACTTTTGCCCATTTTGATTGTTTAACTTTTACCGTACAAATGGTACCACTCAATGCATAGTCTTTCACATTCATGTGAAAAATATGGAAACTGAATTGTCTTTTTAACATAAACTTATATATACTGTTTGATTGTAGATATTTTTATTAGAATATGTGTTCTTGTAAAGTTTTTTTTTTGGTTTTGCTCTTGAATTTTCCTTTGTAAAGCAAAGTTATAAACATAAACAATTTTTTTATCCTTATGAACTGCTTTCAGATTTGCCCCTTTTTCAGGTTTGTCTTTTATTTTTTCCAAGAAAATATGGCCACTGTAGTTATGCTACATTAGAATTATTCGAAGCTAGAGTGCATGAACTTCAGAGATTAAAGATGGCATGTTTTAACTAGTAGATGCACAAAGTATCCATAAAATTTTACCCTATGGTATGCTATTCTTAAACAGTCTTGAAATACATACTGCAATAGACTGACCTTCTTTCACCACTATGTTAATTATAAATCCTCTCTCCAAATAATCTATGGAGCATTAACTCTGGGAACTAACTGACTTGCCACTTATAATGATTTGAATGAGCTACTGGAAAGCTAGATTAGTCTGAACAATCTGCCTATAGAGTTCCCATCCTCACCTTTAAATGGAAATCAACTGGGATAGTCCTGGCCCCCACCAATTTTTTCATAAGGTACCCTCTCCAGTTTGTAAACTTTGAGTGGATAGCTGTATAGAAAGATTTAAGAAAGTCAATGTAGTATACCTTTTGTATCTGCAGAAGTACACAAGCAAGAATTGAATATGACTTCCCTCTACTTAGATTCCTTTAGGTTTATATTTCCCTTGCTGAACCATCTCTTGTTCTGGAATCAGTACAGAGATCCTCGAACACAGGGTCTAAACAATGGTTAAGCTCAACATATTGCTGCAGTGAACATGTACCCAACTTTCCAACCATAGTATAACTCTCTGAATAGGTGGCTGTTTCACTGAAGTATAATCTTCATACATGCTATATAGTCAACCTACAAAGTACAGCAGATCACTTTTTCCCCACTGTGCTAGCCAAGCAAAAAAGCAAGGATCTAAGCAGAGCAATTAAGTCTGATCTAGCCCAAGAAAGTTCTGCACAAAAATGTATATTTATTTTGTAGAGTTTTCACAAAGTAGATTTAATTTGTAGAGTTTTCACAAAGTATCAAGATGAATGTTAGCAGTATTGGAACATTACTACATTGTCTGATGATCAAATCATCATATAAACAAACCAGCCTTCTTAAAATTGCTGCTCTCCAGATGCGCTAAATTTCAACTCCTGTAATGTCCAGCCACAATTAAATTGTTCAACACATTCTGAAAGCACCCTCACATGGCTCTAAAAATAAAAATGGAACAGTATTGTAAAAATAGAACTCATTACCTAAAACAAGTGGCTATGAAGGAGGTATTGCAAAAGATTTGTATGCAAAAATGGCACTAACAGAATTTCAGTAAGTGTGTAGTCCAAGAAAATTTCCATGCCATCTACACAGCCTCCATACTCATTTGTCTTTCCCCTCAAATTGTCCAAATCACAAGCAACCTAAGTACTCTACACTGATGCTTTCAACTTGCTTAATTTGCTCCACAGCACAGAATTTAAGCAACATAGCCACTAGCATAAATATATATGAAATAACTTCAGGTTAGAGAAGAGAAGGAAATTGTGAGTTGTAAAGTTCTACAACTGACCAAGATCCAAGAGACTTACTTTGGGGCGGCACCAGAATTTTGCTGTTAATGGCACACCAACCAATTGGATGCACTTCCATAGTACCTAAGTTGACCCAGAAGTCACGACTGGAATCATTCTCAAAGCCTTCATAACGCAGCAGTGCCTTGTAACCTGCCAAGATTGATGTTTTAGAGACAGGAACAGAACAATCCCCACCCCCAAAAGTACAGATTATTACCTTTGGGGACTCCTGGGAAGATTTGGGATTCTGAGGAAGTACTAGCAACAAATACTGGTGTAGGTTTTCACGGATGGTATCTCTTGGGCAGTGGTAGGGTTCAGGGTTTAGTGACCATGGTCTAGAGAACAGATTTCCTGATGTTTCGCTGGCAAGTGTGGCTGGCTACACAGACTACTTTGCCTCTGAAGATGCCAGCCATGCTTGCTGGCAAAACACCAAGAAATCTGTTCTCTAGACCATGATCATTAAACCCTGAAGCCTAACAATGCCCTACTAAGAACAAAATTTCAAAATAGCTACTATAGCGATCCAGATATTCACATAAAATGGCTGACAAATGGGGTGGCTCAGAAATTATTAATATTTTCCCTAATCCACTCTGCCATATGAAAATCTTTCCATACATATATGTAGTATATATGTATACTACACATCACATGCTCTTATATATATATATACCTCTCCCTATCCCAAAATGCTCCACGTTCATCAATGACAGCAGAACCAAATAATTTTTTACCTCTTTTGCTAGAAGGAAAGGGACAGCTTTCTTCGCCCCCTGCCCAAAAATAATAAAATTGGGTTGTTGTTTTTTTGCTCTTAGAGACAGTGAAATTAGAGTAATTTTAGTTCTTCTACGTCCTCAACACAGCACTACTTCCTCCCCTCACTGCTTCTACTTGTATTCCTTCTTCAGACAGGCAGGAGATTCACTGCAGTGTCCAGCAACAAAACACATTTTAAACTATAGTTTGCTCCTTAGCTGACAAAACAATCAGCTGCTGCCTTAGGAACATTTAATCTGTGACAGTAGTGGACTAAAATAATATATTAGAGTTATTAGAATTGTTAGAGTTATAGCCTGTCAGAAGTGAGGTGAAAGGTAAAGTCTTGAGAGCACCTTGGTCTGCTGTTGAGGGCACATTGGTGCCTGTAGACATTGTCCTATCAATCTAGCTGTCATTAAGTCTTAAGTAATGATAACTTCTCTTAACAGTTCCATCAGTAGTTCCTGTAGGATAGCCTCCATTCATTCAGGTTGTACAGACCATCAGATCACAGGGCTCCCACCATCCGTGGAAACCCTTCTATATCTAATTAACTTTGTCATTTGAAACACACTCTGATGATTTGATGCCCCCAAATTTTTACAGTTTTCCTGTATCTAATTACTAGTGCTAACTTCAGTCCTCAATAGGTACAGGATATGAGATGACAGTTCATTCCTTTTTTCCAGTTCTTAGTTAACTTCCTCCTGGTAAAGGCTCTCAGGTTGGAAATATGGGAAAGTTAGTCATTTTCTTGCAGAGCTTCAACCAAGGAGTATATTAAGAGCCTGATGGTATAAGGCAAATTCATGATACAATCTGTACACCACAGAATGTGCAAAGGCAGGCATTCCTGGTAGGGGCTGCCTCAGAATTGTGTGAATTATTTCTTTTTCAAGATCACCACAGCTTAATTGGGCATCTCTTAAAAGTACTGCAAAATGTCTCCTTTTATTTGGGATAGGGGTATGGAGGCAGAGGCTAAGTTAATCCTTAGAGCAGAAAAGTTGTGGATGCACATATTTCTGACTCCCATCCTGAAACCAAGACAGCTGACATGAAGAAACTAAGAAAAGTCATTGATGGAACACTAGGTTCTGACGGCAGCATTCCAGTTCTAGAAGGGCTGCTCCTACATTTTCATTAAGGAGGCTGTCATTCCAAGAAAAGGGGAAAAGATTTCTGCAAAAGGACCTATTTTTGAACCAAGAATAAGCCTCCAGATGGTGATTAGCCATCGGAAAAAAAAAATATTTTTAATTATTATAAACAAAAAGGGCTGTGTTTGTAACAGACTATAGGTGGCCTGTTGACTTGTCTACTTGATGATATGGCAGATATCATTAGACATGTTGGTAGATAGGGCCAGGAAAACATAAAAGCCATTTAGGCCATCAAGTCTAATCCTAACCCTAACCAAGTGCAAGAAGCCAAACAAAGCATTTGCAACATAAGCTTTTCCAACTTCCACCTGAATATATATCACCTCTCTGGGTAATTGGTTTAACCACTCTATCTTGCTTATATCAAGTCTTTGGACAGAAGTAGGTACACATTTTAAACAATTAAATAAAATCCATAGTCTTTTCTCTGATCCTCCTCAAAGAATCTACCTGCAATCTTAACAACAGAAGCAATCCAATAGACACGACTGGGAAGCACAGCATCGCTGTTCAATACTTCAACCTTCAGCCCCTTTATCACATCTTCCCATTGATCATAAAGGGGAACCTGCAAGAAGAATGGGAGTGGGGGCAAGATAAGATGTATGTAGGGGGGAAAGCAAGGAAGAGAAGAAAATGTATTTGCTGTGTGTGTGTGTGTGCGCACATGCACACATATTCATAATATTGGAGGAATGCATCTCAGATACGCAAAACCTCTGACTCCATTAGCTTTTATTTTGAAAATATAACACTTCATGATTAAAGAAGTGTCTTCATTATTAGATAAGAGGAAGGTGGCATTTTGTGCCAAAATATTAAGACACTAGAAGAAAGGTTTCAAATGGGCTATTTTTATAATCACTGAAGAACTCTTAATTATACATTGTAAGTTTATCATTTTTGCTGTGTTTTTATTTATTAGAATTTTAGAGATATATTAGATTTATTATTAAATTTATTAAATAATCCAAAAAATTAAATTTATTAGAATTTTAGAGATATAATCCTGATGATCTGTTACCGTAGAAACAGTGGCCTTTATGAAACAGCTATTGGGCAACAGAACAGATATTCTTAATTATTTCACCAATGCAAAATGGTCTGTATTATCACCTAACTATTGTTATCTAAATGACTATTATTCACAAGGCAATTATCACTATCTGTATCTTCTAGATGTTTTCTTTTTGGTGTCTGTTTCTTCCCAAAAAACAATTGTGATACATCAAATAATGAATGATCCATTACTTTGGAAAGCTTACATTGCAATATATATTTTCTATGAGCTCACCGCTTTGTATTATTGCTGGTAAATATATTTTAATACATTTAAATTATTGTTTATATTTTGGAAATTATTCCTAAGTCTAGTAAGGTTGTGGACTATGCCTAGAGCAGAGATGCACAATTCATAGCCCAAGAACCAAAACTACAAATAGGTTGACATTTTGGTTTGAAATGCCAAGATCTAAAGATCTGGGGGGGGGGAATGGAACAATTCAGAAAAAAGTGGCTTTTTAAATTTTTCTCCAGGCCTTTTTTGTTTTTTGAAAAATTAAAAAAAATGGAAGTAAAAAAATTCTAGTAAAATTTTGAAAAGAAAATAAGAAATGCAATTAGAGAAAATGTTTTACTCCTCAAAATGTTTTCATTATCTTGTACCAGGCTTTTATCTAAAATATCAGAACACTACAGTTTTTATACAAAGAAGATAAATGTAGTAATAAAGCTCTCAAACAGAACAGCAAGATGCATTTCTGTTGATAATTTCTTCTTTCAATTTTTATTTATTTTGCAACTTGTCATACTGCAAAAATTAAGAGATCCTAGATTTCTTATAGTTCCAGAATTTATAGAATTTATACTAACAGAGTGGTATAAAAAAACCAACACTGCATATATTTCAAAATTGCCCCATTTTTTTTCCTGAACCAAAATTAGAAAAAATTTTCCCCATGCCTTCAAAATTTCCAGAAATGTTCCATTGCTATATATACCCAGGATATCACTGATTGCCAAATATGCCCCTGTCTTCCCATTCCTGCTCTAGAGAAATGTACTCTATGTCTCCTATGTCTTCTTACAGTGTAACACACTTGTTGAAAAGCAGAGAGCGCTCACATGTTTGAAACTGCTAACAGGTGCAGCCTTGCATCCATGGTCCTGCAGATATGCTCCCCAGTCAAAGCCTACAATGAGAGCTAAGAACGCAAAATAAGAGACTGTCAGAAGCCTTAAGGATGGAAAAGAGATGCAACACAACAGATAGATAAACAGGTATGTCAGTATAGTTCATAAACATAGCTTTATGTTTCATAATAGCAAGCAAGCTCTCAAACTGCATAAACTAAGTCCAATCCTAAATATTTTCAAATGTTTAAAAAGATTCTAAAAAGGAAACAACTGCTGGGCCTGTTTCTCCCACCAAGCAATCACACATGTATAACTAAACTATTAGAAGAGATTCACAAGTGTCCTTTACTCCAACTTCATTGCCCCAAAGACAGACCTACACAGCAAATCTACACAGATTAACCCTTGCAACCAAGACAGTGGTGGTCCACTCTCAGCAAACATCCAAACATGAGATCACTAAACCAAGGCACTCTCTCCCATCCATGGGAAGATCAACACCCACTGAAATAAATGTCAACCAAAGTTGCAAGGTAATTTTAAGTCTTTTAAGCCCAACCCTGAAAGCTGAATTTCTCCCTTACATAAACTTATCCTGAAGTGATGAAATAGGGTACAGGATGAGAGGTTAGATTCCAACACATTGGAAAGTTTGTTAACAATATTCAGTTTGAAACAATCTAAAATGAAAAGGAGATGCTGATCCTTCTATCCAATTATTCATTTCATATTGCATCTTATTCTGATGACATATCCATGCTTCCTCCTCAGTTGGCCCATTCTGCTCACCCATAAGTATTTTGCAAGAACTCTGATGAATTCTTTATTTACTCTGTAGTAATGACAGCCTTAGTTCCTCCAACTGCTGATCTCACTTACCATCTTGACCAGTTAGTGTTCCATCTGCCAGTTGCCCTGTCCCCTGAATGTGGAGAAATGCCCCAATTTTAGCAGACCAGGCTGCCTTGTGCAAGACTTTAGCTTTTTTTGTTGGTGGTTTACCCTGTGAAAATGTATCAAAACAAGACACATCAAAAAAGCACATGTAGATTTCCAGCTCTTCCATGGGGCTTCATCCAACAAAGATACCAAATCAAAAGAGCCATTTCTTAAAGAGTAATTCTTTGCTATGTTGTAAACATTTGGTAATAAACACCTTGTTTGGTTTTGGCTTAGTGTGTTACATAAACTCACTTGATATGTTCATTAAATAATACATGGTTAAGCAAACAATGGCTTAGCATAATATGTGGACTCCATTGTGTTATAGGTTTCTAAAGCTATAAGCCACTTTATCAGAAGTGTCTGATAAGATGTACAAGAGAGGTGGAACTCACGTGAGCTAGGCCTTTGACACATCTGACAATGTAATTCCGGCCCATGAAAAGCTAATATTACAATAACTTTGCAAGTCATGTAAAGCTCCTGGGAGCTCTTTGGTCATAAAATGTATACAATACAGATCTGCTTATTACATTTACAAGCATTACCCAGGATGGCACTTGTTTTTCCTACTTATGAGTTCAGAAAGGATGGCAGGACTTTATAGTTAGCAAGAGAAAAAAAATGGAATCCTCTTCCTAAACAATTCATGTATGAACATTACATAGAAAAGAACTATCAATAACAGTGGAAAAATTATTAACTATTATGCTATTATGTCTTCTTTGTGCCAAGGAAAAATGCTTTCTCCTCATATCTGCATTTTTATTCTTGGATTATACTCTGCTATTAAAACTGTCCTTCCCTTACAAATTATGGACTCATCCTTTTCCTACTACCTTTATTGTCTCTTTCAAATGCTCCTAACATATGGGAAATGTGTACATTACATTCTTTCTCTATTCTAATTTTAAACTAGAACAACTGTGATTGCGAATTTATTATTTCTGACATAGATATTAATCAAAACAATTAAATATTGATTGTTTATGGAAATTTTGTTTTGCTTCTGTATCTGTTTAGTCAAGATGGCATAGAGATTACTCCTAGCTTCCCTAATGCAACTCAGGTAGCAGATAACAAAGTAGACTTCTCCATAAAAATATAGACAAGATCAGAGAAAATCTAGTTCCTTATGATACAAAATAGGAATCAATAGTAAAAAGGCAACTCTTCTATATGAAATTATCTTTAGCACTGATACATATAAGGGCATAATTGTGAAGGGAGATCAAGTGTTTTTTGGCCTTAACTTCCCTGTACCTAACAAAAGATACTCTTGGATACTTACAAGAATCATGTGTGGCCTTTTACTATACATTTATTAGCTTTTGAAAGAGAACACTGCTTACAATAATAGATATTTCCAACATTTTTCCTCTTAGTGGCTAATCAGATGCCAATAGGACATAATCATAATAGTTTCCATTCATATTCCCCTGGAATTTCTCACAGAGAAATACTGCCTATGTTTCAGAGACTATATATAGCTATTACAACTAGTAACCATTGGTAGCCTTATCCTCCACGAATTTGCTTAATTTCCTTTCACGCCTCTCAGATTGGTGGCTACCATGGTGACAAATATCCCTGCCAAGCATCCAAATAAATTTATTGTTTACAGCAAACAGCACCTTCCAATATTTTCCTCATATTTTATGATATCTAATTTAGCAAACAGTGACCCTATTAAGTGGATATTGATCACCTGCAGCCTTGCCAGGATGCTAGCCTTCTTGGAATTTGAGGAGTAACTCCTGGAACAGGAAACACTGCAGAAACGTTTGGTCTTGGAGAAGAAGGCATCTTTTGTGCCCACAATACCACACATCTCACAGACAGCTGAGAAAGCACAAATTCAACAGCAGGAAATTAGTTTAATCAAGAAAGCACAAGGCTACATCCTGGGAGCATTAAACTAGATTGATGACAACATGCTCCACAAAGCTATAAGAAGCATACATAATATTATACTGTAATTTACATTATTTTAATTAGACCTAATATTACCATCAAGCAGGATAAAAACTGAGAGCAGATAACATGGATGAAAATAAAGGGCTGCTTTTATTGGTTAACAAAAATCATGCTTGCCTTGAAATATGAACTAGCAAAGAGGATGCTTTAAGATCCAGCAGGAGTAATCAATATTGTTCAGTTCTAATGACTGCCAGAAGCATCAATCAGATTTGATAAGAAGTACATAAATAACAGAACTATCTTGTCAAGAAAACAGCAAATATAGTAGAGAATCCTAAACATAACCCAAAATAGAATCTTCACCTCTAATAATGGATGTCTAGATAGATCCAAATATCATATACAAATTTCCATCATCATTGAAATTCGTTTGCCACTATAATTATTTTTCTATTTATGATATATACTCTTCTTAGATGATCATGGGACTGTCCAG